AAAAAAAACAAGTCACCAAGAACAGATCAGTGCTCTCAATTGTCTTTTCTATATATTGTTCATTGGTTTTTATTTACTTACTTATATATATTTTTCCTGCTTAGCTTTGCACATTTTAAAACTGCAGTACAATTAAGTCACAATGATCAGACAATTTTAGACTAATGTTTATTTGAAATTGTATTACAATATGTTATTCTGTTATTTTAAGCACAGTCAACTGAAAAGTGATACATAATTTAAAACTGTATCTTCCTCTTTTTCTTCTTATTGCTATTAGGCACTGTATTGTTCTGTACAGTTTTGATAGCTTTAGGATTTCCGTGACGGTTATACAGGTGTGAGTGTTCTCTTTATGCCATTCTTCTGAGAGCTGATAAATTTGCTCATTTCAAGCACATTTTTTAAAACAAGCAAAATTATCTACCAATATAGTGAAATAATTTTACTTAATACAATTACTTAAAACATGTAAAAAATGTCTAGAAATAAGGTAAATAATCCTACATTAAGCTTACAACAGTTTCAACCAGAGAAAAAAATAGATTTATTGACAACATTTACAACTGCAACTAAATGTTTCCAGTAACCGTTGATTAGTTATGCACATCAGCTTGGTGAAATTCGAGCCCATTCCTCCATACAAAACAGCTTCAATTCTGTCATGTTGGTGGGTTTCCTCCCATGAAATGTTTGTTTTTAGGTCCTTCCACAACATTTCTACAGGATTAAGGTCAGGACTTTGACTTGGCCATTCCAAAACATTAATTTTATTCTTCTTTAACCATTCTTTGGTAGAACGACTTGTGTGCTTAGGGTTGTTATCTTGCTGCATGACCCGCATTCTCTTGAGTTTCAGCTCACAGACAGATGTTCTGGTATTTTCCTTTAGAATTTGCTGGTATAATTCAGAGTTCATTGTTCCATCAATGATGGCAAGCCAGATGCAGCAAAACAGGCCCAAACTAAGATACTACCACCACCATGTTTCACAGATGGGAGAATGTTTTTATGCTGGAATTAAGTGTTTTTCTTCCTCCAAACATGACGCTTCTCATTTAAACCAAAAAGATCTATTTTGGTCTCATCTGACCCTGAAGGGGTCCCTCCCAGGGTGTCAAGGTAAAGCCTGTGCCACCCAGCTTTGTGGAGTACTGGAGTACATGTCTTCAACATGAGCCTGAGTCTCCAGAGGGTCCCCATGATGTGGAAGACGTCCTGCATTGTTCCTGTTCCGAAGATGCCGCCACCCAGTGACGTCAAGGATTACAAGCCAGTGGCACTGACGTCCCACGTCATGACAACCATGGAGAGGCTCATCTTGGATCAGCTCTGGCCCATGGTCCAGCCACTTCTGGACCCCCTCCAGTTCGCCTATCAGCCGCGGCTGGGAGTTGAGGACCCCATCATCTACCTGCTCAACTGAGTTTACGCTCACCTGGACAAGCCAGCCAGCACAGTGAGGGTCATGTTTTTTGACTTCTTCAGTGCATTTAATACCATTCTGCCTGCTCTTCTGGGTGATAAGCTGACAGTGATGCAAGTAGATACCCCCCTCGTGTCCCGGACTGTTGACTACCTGACTGGCAGACCACAGTATGTTCACCAGCAGCACTGTGTGTTGAACAGAGTGGTCAGCAACATTGGATGGAACTTTCCTCTCTCCCTTCCTCTTCACCCTCTACACCACAGACTTCAGTTACTGCACAGAGACTTGCCACCTTCAGAAGTTTTCTGATGACTCTGCAATAGTTGGATGTATCAGCAGGGGTGATGAGGATGAGTACAGGGTGACGGTGAAGGACTTTGTAGCATGGTGCGAGCTGAACCATCTGCAGCTCAACGTGACAAAGACAAAGGAGCTGGTGGTGGACCTGAGGAGGGACAAGGCACCGGTGAGCCCTGTATCCATCAGGGGGGTCAGTGTGGACACCGTGGAGGATTACAAATATCTGGGAGTGTATATTGACAATAAACTGGACTGGGCTAAGAACACTGACGCCCTCTACAGGAAAGGTCAAAGTCGTCTCTATTTTCTGAGGCGCCTGAGGTCCTTCAACATCTGCCGGCCTATGCTCAGGATCTTCTATGAATCTGTGGTCGCGAGTGCTGTCCTCTATGCTGTTGCATGCTGGGAAAGCAGGCTGAGTGTGGCAGATGCCAACAGACTCAACAAACTGATCCGCAAGCCCGGTGATGTTGTGGGTGTGTAGCTGGACTCGCTGATGGCAGTGTCGGAGAGCAGGATGTTGTCTAAGCTGCAGGTCATTATGGACAATGGCTCCCACCCACTCTATGACACAGTGATGAGTCATAGGAGCACATTTAGTGCAAGACTCATTCTACCGAAATGCATCACAGAGCGCCACAGGAAGTCATTCTTACCTGTGGCCATCAATCTCTCTAACTCCTCCCTCAATATGTGATACTATGGTTCATCTGCGCAATACTCAATACCAAATTGTATTGTTCATATGTGTAATAATAATAATGTAATACATTTTTTTTTAACTCAGAGGTGCAATAATTTGAATTGCTTTCATATTTACTATCACAGCCACTGCCACTTACTATATTTAGTAAGTGGCAGTTTAATATATTAAGAATTTAAATGTGTACATATTGCAAATTTCTCTTTTTTCTTTGAAATAATTAAAGTGTTTATTCTTCTGAAACTGAATTTATCTACTTTTATGACTTGTGTGAAAATCTGATTAAGTTTTAGGTTAACTTTATGCAGAAATATAGTCACCTTTAGTGTTTAGTGCAACTTCTTTATTTATTGTTATTTAATAAAGCCCTAACCCTGGCATACTTGTCTAGCGTGTGTAATATCATTCTTATGTGTGCAACACTTCCCTGCCCTATTACTTATTTACATGTAGGAGCATGCTGCTGTAGTATACAAATTTGGTCCCACTTTTTATTAAGTGTCTCTAATAACTGTGTAGTTACACATGAATAACATGCAACAACACTGTAACTACTGATGATTTAGATAATGTTACAGATGGATGACAGAAGTACAGCCTATGTAATTAAACATGTGTATCAGCTTCAATTTTGCCTCATGTAATTACACAAGTTTATCTTTTTGATGCACTACATATCAGAAGTCTTTTCCAGCAGTTAAAGGAAGTATGTTTTACATGAAATTACATGTATGTTTTACATAATTACTCTGGAATAACTGTGTTGTAACAAGCTAACCTAATCACATCATATTGATTAATACCATCCATTCTGTAATGACACTGTACCTTTATAACAACTAGACATGAACTTTTCTGTAGTGTAGTGTTAAAGTTACACTTTAAAATAAGTGGACAGCTCCTATGTAGTTGTTATGTAAGTACTGTGTAATAAAGGATTAATAATATAGTAATTGCTTTGTGGATAATGCAACACATTTAATTAATGTCATAAAAGCTACATTTTAAGATAAGGGGTCATCTGCTGTACTGTCACATTACAGAATAGTTTAAAGCTGAAACTTGTTACAATGTCATAGCATTAGCAACATAAATGCTAGCTAAATGTTAGGAAAGCTGGTAGATACAGTGTAAGTAATGTCTTAATGTAAGTAATTATATACTTGGAAAAAAAATAAATAAAATGCTGTTCCAGTCTGATTACAAACGTAATTACATTTATGTTATTACCCTTGTGTAATTACATGAGAGAGAATAGGCTAAGATACACTTGTGTAATTACATGAGGCAGAACTGAAGGTGATGCAAATGTGTAATTACATAAAATGTACTTTTGTAATTCATCTATAACAGTGACTTAATTATTAGTAGTTACAGTGTTGTTGCATATGTTATTCACATGTAACTACACAGTTATTATTGAAACTTAATATAAAGTGGTACCAAAAATTTTAATGTATTTTTGAATGGTCTGTATTCTAAATACAATAAACCAGTCTTGAATCTTGAATCTCCAATTCAAACCCAAAGCAGTGAGTTGTCAGAGATCAAAGCTTAAAGCTGTTCATCTGATGGAGACAGTTTTTGTGGTCTACCAGGTCATGCATGGTTGTTAGGAGTCCCATTTTCTCTGTAGCTTTTCAAATTTACCAAACTGTCTTTTTATTTTATTTATTTTTTTATTTTCCATTTTCCTCCATCCTTATGCAAATGGATTTGTTTTATATCCTCCTCAGAAATATCTCCTAAAAAATGAATAGATAAGTGATGACTGCTCTCTGACCTTTGCACAGTACTGTATGTGTTATGTATTAGAATGTATAAATGAACACATAGGTCAGTCCTTTGAAATCACAGTGCCTTTCATAAGTACAGGGACAACCAAAACTGATGAATGTGATAAAATGTCTTTATTTGATTTAAGTGTACAAATAATTTCCACATTAATAAAATATATTACATCAACACAATTATTGCCTGTAACAAATAAATGCAATAAAAACCTTTAAGAGTTCCTGAAACTAGTAATTACATTTGTAAGCTGTATGGTGTGTTTAATGTGAGAAGTGAGCTACACATGCGGGAAAGATTGCTTGTAGAGGAGTCATTATTATAAATGTTATATCATTGATAGCTTGTATCATAGGATCCCTACCTTTTTGATTTTCCCACCATTTACTTGGTTTCAAATGTGCTGTGTGATCCCAACACACCATGTCTAAAGCTAAATATTTTACATTACCAACAAAATCATGCTGAGGGATACAAAATAGCATTCATACAGTGCAATATTATTTATTATTCACTAACAGAATAGCAGTCATAGACAGGTATGATGCATCTTCAAAAAAATCCCATATTCAGAAAACTCAGATTAACCAACAGAGTAACAAATGGATGTGTGAAGTTACATAAAAACAAAATATTCTGTATTTGCTGTTGTAACACTTTATAAAAATACAGCATATTGTTGACTCAGTGCCTATGAAATGGAACAGGTTTTGCATATGATACAACTTTGCATAATCTTTGAATAAGAATCTGTTTTTCAGAGAAACTGTGTTGAAGTGCTGGATTATTATTATTATTATCATAGCTTTGAATTCAACTGGTGTGTAGATCTGTACTTCCTCCTTGTGTGGTGTGGGCTTCAGTGATGGTGGTTGGAGAGAAATTGGCCTGAAAACCACTCAGCAGCTTCCTGTACTCTTGCCTTACCTGGAAATAGACATCAGACAGTGTCAGATCAGACAATATGTACAATCAGACAACATGTACAATCAGGACAAAGTGAGATCAATTAAGCATTGGGTGACGCTTTACTTCGAGTGGTCCTTGTACATGAAACAAATGCTCAATGGACTCTCAGTAACATATGAAAAAACATATAAGGGTTAGTATTAGGTTTTGGGTTGAGGTTAAGGTTAGGGTTAAAATTAGGGCCAAAGTTAGGGTTAGGTTAGAGAAATAAAGATATTGGAAGTTTTAATGATGAGTTTGTAGCGTAAAAATGATCATTTCACTGGAAGGACACAAAGTAGCAAATAATTAATAACAATAAAACAGTAGATTAATTAACAGATAATTAAGCATATTAACATGGGTAATTTTTAGTTCTTATGTTGCTTATTTATATGAGTAAACACACTTATCAGTTCAGTAGCAGTGTGATAAGCAGCACACAAGTTAGTACACAGTTAATGAGTAAATAAGCTGTGATCTAATAACAAACTATACTCTCAGCTAATAGTGTACTGAATGAATAATTACAAAATACTTAATTAGTAACTAATGCTTAATAAACAGTTAATTAATATATTGATGATGACTGTTCAATTGCTTATTAGCATATAATTATCAATTTATTTGTGATACCAAGTACCGTATAACTGTTTTGGGTAAAATGATTGTAAGAACCAAAACAGTCTAATGAAATAATACTGAAATGCCTACTAGGTTGTAGCTACTAAGCAGATAAATGAAGTAGTTTAACATTTGATAGTTGAAGAATTTTTGGAGTGACAGGGTGTTGAGTAAGAATACACCCTACATTTCATTGCAATGCCACACATTTTAGAAGGAAACTGCTTTGGAGACACCTTATAGTAAAAGGTTCATATACAAAAAATGTAATGAGAGCACTGAAGGCTGCAGACCTTGCAGCACCCTTACATCCCACAGTCTTGGTTGCAGTGATGCATATATTTTCAGTTTCTATACAACATTCAATTCTGAAGTCAAAATTCAATTCAGTTTCCAACAATTTATATCGTAAGTTGTGCAGAGCTCTATGCAGATTGGTTTGGCTGTGCTAAAAGTTCTACAGCAGAACTTTTTTCAGTGCCTGACATGCTGCTGTCTAACTAATGAAAACAGCAAAAATCACAACCCCTAGAGCAGAGGTCTTGAATTCAGTTTATGGTCCTGGATTTTGTAATCTCTGCCCTTGAGTTCATAAGCTTTTCAGAAAAAAAGATGGTATACTTTATCTGGATGGTTCCCTATAGATGCTCTACAGATACTTAAATCATTAACAAACCTTCTGGTGACGTTCAGTTGATTATCAACAACATTATGGTTAGGGTTAGGAGTAGGTGTAGGTTTTGCCTTGAGATTAGGGTTAGGTTTAGGGTTAGGAACAGATTTAAACTCTTTCACACTGAACTTGAAGTTCATTTGCATTTAATGGATATTTAGTTGAAGTTTGCCTAAAGATATACTGAGCATTTGCAAAGCATCTACAGTGGACAATGCAAATTAAGTGTTTGAGCATAAGGATAAGCCCTGCCCCTCTTCACCCACTTTACTCTCGTCGCATAATCCCCACTTCCCCACCTACTATAATTGGATAGGATAATAACTTCCACGTTCTTAAAACGTGGTTTACTAATGAAAGTTCTTTTCCTAAAACCATAAAGTCAAGTCACCAATAGCAACTATTATTTCTGAGAGTATATGTGAGTAAACTGCAGTCAAATGCATGAACATGTCTGAAGGTCTAGGTAGTTTACTGGTAGGGCATGTGATGCAGTGAGATGGTCTCTTGTGTAGGAGACTGGAAACACCTGCACTGCAGTTAAAAACTCAAAATGTAAGTTCCACCTCACTGACGTCTTTACGAAAGACACAACTGTGCAAAACCCATAAAGCTAATATGTGCTTTGGACAGAAATTTTTCTCTGTTTTCTCTGGTGTCAGTGTGGTATGTAATACAGAGATGGCTGACCTCTTTACTGAGGACACAGTGGACGATGAAGATGAAGGTGCCTTGCTGAGAGAGGAGGATCACGAAGACTATCTCCAGAGCCTTACTGTTGGTGGTGAAGAAACCCAGAATCCAGGGGCAGCCAACGATGACAAACTGGGCCATGGTTTTAAAGAAAACAGTCCTTCAAAGAGAAAAAGAGAGAGAGAGGTACGTAAATGGGCATTTCGGTCTTTGAGCCATTTTGCATTGTTGGTATCTGTTTGGACTACACATTTTACAAAACTTTAAGGTAACATTTCAGTGTAGATTTGCATTATAATCATCATTGCATTATAACCCATTTAGAATGTGATTAGAACTATCAAACCGACTGTTCATTACTAACAGGGATGAATTAAATAAGTATTTTTGTATGAAATCTAAAGAAAATTCTCTCTTTATAGCTGATAAAGAACGTTTGCTGTGAAATAAATCAAGATCTCGAGAAAGCAAATCATTTACTCAATATCACAGGAAAACGTAATACATAAAATACGCCAATCCATGACATTTTAAGGACTTTCTTTACTATTAGATTTGTTTGTAATTCTTATTTTTCACTTCAAAGTATAATGTTTAGTGTTAGTGCTCTCAAATATCAAATGACACAAAGTTTGTTTTAGTAGGTAAACATTTTAGATCAAGTATCAAAGTCACAAAGTAAAGCAAGTTATTAAGGTTAACGGAGATTGAAAGTTTTACCACTTTTATAATCTCGGATTGACTTAAATCTACATGACATCCACTTGTAACATCTGAATTGATTATGAAGATAATCTTACACAATATTCATAATTCATAAAACTAAATGCTTATGGTACAGACCAATAAAAAAAGCATCCTAACATGATAGGATGTGTGGTTTATGTTACCTGGTTTGTTTTATCTGTGAAACTTTACTGTTCAGGTGAACCAGAGAATATCCCAGACTGATAGCAATCAAACTGAAGAGGATTATGTTGCACTGCAAATGTAAGGAAACACTAGGTTAGGGTTAGATTTAACTGTTGTAATGGCAAATTTGTTAGTAATCAGTAAAGCATTCATTGGGGACTATCCAAACAAAGTTTGACCAAAAGAGTGAAAGGAGTCTTGAAACAAATGTTCTCTGATTTAGTTCCCTGAACCGTGACTGTGATGGGTGGTTTTATCAGCGCTTACTGCAAGGATGAAAGAAACAGGACCCAGAAAGCTCCAGATGACGTTTTTGTCACTCTTAAGCCAGCATCTAAAGAGAGGAGAGAAGTTTTATGTATCCGAGTATGTTTAAATGCAGATATTTTTTTAACTTTCACTTATGAACATTCTTGGCTCCACACTTCCACTTTTAACTGAGTAAGACTTTGACAAAGTAAAATTTTGACTTTCAAGTACCTAGAAGTGTACAGGGTTGGGATGTAATGAAATACAAATACTGGCAAAACATATTTAGGATACAGAAGTATCTGTATTCAGTCCAAGTTACATTTTTTGAGGTAGTATTCAAAATGTAGTTACCTTTTACATCTTTAGGAAAACACTTTTAGAAAACTTACCTACTACATACACACACACACACACACACACACACACACTGATCAGGCATAACATCATGAGCACCTCCTTGTTTCTACACTCATTGTTCCTTTTATCAGCTCCACTTACTATATAGGTGCACTTCGTAGTTCTACAGTCTGAAGACACTAAATCAATATTATTCTCCATACTCACTCTTCACTGCCGTATCCATCAGGTACCACTCCAGCAGACACGCCCACCACAAACAGAGCGACCATGTACCCAACCACAGTTAAAAGCTTCCATTTAAGCAACTCCTTCTGCTTTGATTTGGGACGTGACAGATTCTTTACAGCAATGAAGAGCATCAGTGCCTCAATGAACATCCACACAAAAGCAGAGAGGAAGAGGAAGTGTAGAACACCTGCCATCACTGCACACGCCAACTGCAGAAAGAGAGGATTTAATACAGAAATGCTGTTAGTACTTTACACTATATTATTACAATATACAACATATTTCTGTATCCTTAATTTTAATGGTCCACTACAGATGTTTTGTTGATACTGCTTTGTCTTTAACATAGACATCTATTAAATTCACCTAGACCTTTCCCTAAGTCTATAGACTATTTCTGAAAGTCACCTCTTCCAATGCTTCCACCATATGAGGATACAAAACAATAATAAAACTGTTTAAACATCAGTTAGAATGTAGCAGTAAGATAAACACAACCAATATTTTCACAAACAATGAATTAAACCTATACCTAAATCAAACTAACCTAATTTTTTAAACTAATTTTGAACTCAAACCTATTCTTAACATTCATAGTTAAACTCTTCCCCAACTTTAACTCTATGCATAATCTGTACTGGGCTTTGCAAATAAAATGGAACCCAACCTAATAATTGTAATAATCATTAAAAAACAGATTTCATCACTAGATGGGAGTGTCTGTAAATTATAATGATCTTTACATGGACTATTATTCACAGATATTCACCTGATGAGGCTACAAATAGGTAGTAATGTTTTCCTTTTGATATTGCATGTAGGTAATGACACTCACCTTGAGAGGCTGTAAAGATTTGCTCTTCAGTAATATTTGTGTAAGCAGGAAGAGGAAGTGGGCCAACAACAGGCTTACACACAGATGGATCCGGGCTGTGTTGATCACTCTCTGGTTCCTTCGACAGAGGGCAAAGGTCAAGAGAGTCAACACCAAGAACATCAGCCCCAGTGACTCAGCCACCATGCTGAACTCATCCAAACGATGGTCATTCTGAAATCAACATTTGATTAACAGCCAAATTAGGCAAAAATAAAATAAAATAAAATAAAATAAGTGTTCTCAAACTTATACAACAGACATTGGGGTGTCACTAGAAGTTGTGTCCCCCAGAAGAATTTTTTAAGTTACAAGGTAGCAATACTGAATAAGATACAATAAAACAGACAGCACAGTGTGTCAATAACACAAAAATGCTTATGTGCAATAACTGTTCAGGAGTGTAATGACATGAAAAACTTCTCTGAAGTGTCTGTCTGAGGGAAGGAGCTGAAACAGGTGTTGCATCAAAGTAATGAGTAATGGTTGATGCACATAATGGGCCTCATTCACCAATATCTTTTAATATTGTTTTTTTCTTGAATTTGTGTTGAAGAAAAAGTGTATGTCAGATTCATGATGTGCTCTGAAACCACAGAATTGATGCTTTTGAGCATGCATAAATTCTTCTCATACCTAAGAACAGATCCCAAATAAGAAAACACTGTTGAATGTCAGAATATTAATTAAAACTATGTAAGTGGGTTTTAAGAATGGTTGGTGAATGAGGTCCATTGTTACTGAAAATAAACACCGTTTGTTAGGACTGATGCTACAAGATCAAAATGTTTGGTGTTTACGGATGGTCATTTGATTGTCCTGGTCAGTAAGAGTACAGATGTACAAATAATCATGGTGGAATGTGTGATCCCCTCCACCAGACTTGAAAACCGAAATGAAATTAAAGAAATGAATTCACATCAAAAGTAACTTCTTGGTGCTTCTGTATAGACCAGGACACTTTTTATCATGGTAGCAGAGTTTGACTAGGCTGTGAGCTGGGACATTTTTTCACCGCAGTAGGGGAGTCTTGTTAAGCTGCAAACTATAGACTTTGCAATTTGATGTAGAAGACTAAGTAGAATGTGTACTGGGACATTTTTTACTGTGACAGTGGAGATTGAGTGGGCCATCAGCGGGCCCACTTTTCACTGCAGATTTGATGGGGACTCTGCAGCATGACAGCAGAGTTTAACTAGGCCATGATAATGATAGTGGAGTGTGACTATGCCATGAGATGGGTCCCACTTATGTCACAGTATAGAGGGAAACATTCACTTTAAGGCTTTTGTAGAACAGGGACAAAATGTGATTTGATAAAATACACTAATGTTGAATAACTAAAATATTTTATCATAAATAATAATCACAATTAGCATGTCTTCCACAGAGCAATGTTCATTATCAGCTATGCTTGTCAAGTAAGGTAACAATTACATTTTTCACACATACATTAGTGCAGTAATACAGAATTCAGTTAACATGTCTTAGCCAAAAAAGTTATAGGGCTGCATCTGTCAGTTTTATAAGCATCGTTTTGCCCCTTGTTTTGAAATGACCATGTACAGTAGCTTGTTGTGAACTTGGGAGGTTTTGGTAAGAGACATGGCCCGTGACCAGGTTAAATCAGCTCTGTTTACCTTAGATGGCTTGATCTGCATGATGAGAGCAAAGGTTGACAGGTGATAACAGGAGCAGACAGAATGACTGCTGTTGGTCTCTATGCGTGTACAGCCATCCGTGACCCAGTCAGTTTCTTTCCAATATACACAAGAGAGCATATCATTGGTATCCATCTCCTGAACAAGTTACAAAAGAAAAAAAAATATGTTTAAAATGAATAGTTTCAAGAATTCTATCATATTTTTGGGCATATTTTAGCTTTCTAAGATAGATCTGAAGGGCAATACATTAATTATTAAAGATACCAGTTGGGTGAGATCAAAATGCAGACAGTAATTTACTGGATTTCTTATGATATCATCATAAATATTACTCTTTAACATGTCATTTGCTGACTTTAACATTTTGGGGAAAGATAACATATAAAATGTGCCATTACTTTTGCACAGGTCACATGTTACATACAACTGTGTAATAAAAATGTGTTATAAATGTTATTTAATATCCTATAAACTACACATTTCCATGCCAATAGAATGAAATACCTAGATCTGATTTATGAACCAGGTATTTTTTCAGTCTATATTTTGTTCATTCTATTAAGTTTCTCACATGGTTATACATGCTTGGGTGCCAATACATGTGTCTAGAACTATATATAAATGAATGTTTTACAGTATCTTTGACCTACTATATGTTGCTATCAGTCCATCTAAACAGAAATGAATGACTCACTGCAGTGTGCCTCAGGGTGAACTTGACTGGTTTGGTGAGGCTTGTGTTTTCGGTTCTGGGGAGCGTGGCTGAAACCACAGTGGACATAAGTTTTTTTGTGTTGATAGTTGTACTGAACAGTCTGGAATTCGACATGTTGGTGTAGCTCATGAACGCTACAGCAGCGTGCCCTGAAACACAGATTAAACACCAATTAACACCAATTAAACAATAACTGTACCAGAATTTTTCCTTTCATTGTGTTAATTTTTAATTTTTTATTTATTTATTTTTGCTAAAACTGGAGCTGCAATTTGAGAAAAGCTAGTCCACCAATACTGTCCCAAGATGAAAAGGACTTTTGGTCCCACTTTATATTAAGTGTCTCTAATAACTGTGTAGTTACACATGAATAACATGCAACAACAATGTAACTACTGATGAGTTAGTCCATGTTACAGATGGATTAAGGAACTACAGCCTATGTAATTACACACATATCGACTTCAGCTTTGCCTCATGTAATTACACAAGTGTATCTTTTTGTTACACTACAGATCAGAAGTGTTTTCCAGCAGTTAAAGGAAGCATGTTTTAAATAACATTACATTTATGTTTTGCATGATTTCTTTTGGAATAACTGTGTTGTAACAAGGTAACCTAATCACATCACATTAATACCATTCTGTAATGACAGTGCACCTATAACAACTACACGGGAACTTTTCCTGTGTAGTTGTTATGTAGGTACTGTGTAATAATGGAGTGGTAATATAGACATTAATTAATGAATTAATTAATCAAGCAATGTAATAAAAGTTATATTTTAATATAAGGGGACGTCTGCTGTACCGTCACATTACAGAATGATTTAAAGCTGAAACTGGTTACAGTGTCACAGCAATAGCAACATAAACACTGGCTTAATGTTAGGAAAGCTGTCAGATACAGTGTAAGTAATGTCTTAATGTAAGTTATTACATATTTCCTTTTACTGCTGGAAAAGACTTCTGAAAACAACTGCCATTCCAATCTGATTACAAATGTAATTACATTTGTTATTACTCTTGTGTAATTACATGAGAGAGAATAGGCTATTACAACTATTAAGATACACTTGTGTAATTACTGAAGTTGATACACTTATCATTATATCATATAATTACATACGATGTACTTTTGTAATCCATCTGTTACAGTAACTAAATCATTAGTACTTACATCGTTGTTGCATGTGTTGTTCACATGTAACTGCACAGTTCTTAGAGACACTTAATATAAAGTGTGAAAATATTTTTTTGTTAAGTTTTCATTTAGAGACAGTAGTGTGATGGAAAGGACAAAAAGAACTGTTGCAAATGATTATAATAAAAATAAATAAATAAATAAATAATAATAATAATAATAATAATAATAATAATAATAAATAATAATAGTGATCATACCTTTATTCTTCTTGTTTTTAGAAATCTCAATGAGATCAATGTCCATTTTAGCATCTGGTGTGTCAAGGTGAGGGATTTTTGTCAAGGAACACCTTGGTCCAACTTCAATAACACGAGCCTCTAATAAGAAACAAAATGTAGGTATGTGGGATTATATCCAAATATGCAGAGTGTTCTGATAATTATTATAAAAGTGTAAGTAAAGCTTTCACAATACATTGCATGTTGTTACCTATAGTTTTAAGGGAGATGCTAATAGAAGAGTTGGTCTCTACTTTCTTCACCAAAGTAGTCATCAGTTTGTCAGTGGCTCTCAGTACATTATTGAAAGAGGGTACTAGTTCATCTTGGTTAGTTGGCTGACGGTGTTGTTGAGTGGTAAGGAACTCCAATGCTTTCTCCACATCCTGTTCAACAATCAGACAGAAGCTGAAGTTCATACACATTAAAAAAAAACACAACAAAAAAACAAAACACTGCCATGCTATTAGGTAAGACGACATTTAGGTCATAAAATTGTTACAACAGCATTTAGAGAGAGCAGTCAGATGCATTTGAGTGATAGTTTACTGCTAAACTACCTATCAGGTCCAACAAACTACTTACTTTTTTTGGTAACACTTCAGTAGTGATGTTGTCAATCTGACTCAAGATGTTCTTTGTACACTCTTGGCTGGCATTAGCCTAAAAAAAGAAAATAATATAAACACTTTGAACATTGCACAGTTAGCTATGGCTTTGAGGAAGTCAAAGTGTTTCTCAGCAATGTGTCTCCAGACCTTGCAATCTTCAAGAATTCTGATATTCAGACCTGAAAAGAGAGAGTTGTTCATGAGAACACCATTAAAAATACTATCCTCACTGCAAAAAATGATATCTTGTCAAGTAAAATTATCTTAAATATAGTCAAGAAATCTACTATTTCTCCTGTTGAGACTTATAAGCTCAATTTAAGATTACTTAGCTTGTTTCTAGACATTTTTACTTGTTTTAAGTAATTTTATTAAGTAAACTTATCTCACTATTATCACAGATAATTTTGCTTGTTTTAAGAAATGTGATTGAAATCAGCAAAAATATCTGCCAGTATAGTGAGTTGATTTTACTTCATAAAATTACTTAAAACAAGTGAAAAGTGTAGAAATAAGCTAGATAATGTCATAATAAGAGCACAACCATCTCAACATGGGATATATTAGATATATTGACTGGATATAAGATCATTTTACTAAATGTTCAGATGATTTCTGAATAAGATGTATAATGACCTGACATGACAGCTTTTGTTATAATTCAGGAAATACATTTCCTTATTCATGAGAATAATGCATTCAAACAACCTCTGAATATATCAAGGGTATAGGGTCATTACAAACACATTACCTTTGGACATCAAGAGTTGAATTACCTGAACTAATTTATGAAGTAAATGTATGAACTTTGACAAATGGTCATCATAGCTGGGAGAACAGTGGAACTGACTTCCAAGGCACCCTATGTGTGCTTTGGTGTTACAACCTTAAAGGGACCAAATGGGACTGCATCTGCACAGGGCCCAGGCAGTTTTTGAACACTCCTGTTTTCACCTTGTGCATCAGCTGACATACTATCAACCAAGACAGAACCTGGTTGAAAATATGTTTCCCATAAATGCTTACTGTCTGTCTGTAGTCTGTCTGATGGTTCCCCAGATACACTACAGTACATTGACCAAGCATGAAGTGTAAATGCACATACTGTATGACAATGTTAAAGCCTATAGCAAAATAGCACATCTAGGGCCATGGAGAACTCGCTTTATATATCTGATTGTCAGAATCTTTATTTCAATATGTGGACATGGTGTCGGCTGCCCAAGGACTCGCTGGTGTCTCCATTCAGGCACTGGATCACCTAAGACTGCAACAAATCTTTGTGACTTCTTTTTTATGACTGCTGCCAAGTTTGTCAGTCCCAGCTTCCCAAGACAAACAAGATCACTCAAGTGTTGTCTACCTTTGACACCAATACAACTACTTGTTACTGTGGCTAAAAAGGCACTGGACTGGTACCATAGACAGGAATAGAAAACTCATATTCCACATAACAAACTCGATTCTGAGTAAAATTTAGTCAGTAATAGTCATTAGTAGTATTCTAAGCATTTTCAAAATTCCTTCATTTATCAGGCAGTCTCTTGTTCATTTTATGAGGAGTCAGCCAGCCCAGTGGTTATTCTTAGAGTTCTTGGTCCTAGCTGGACTATTCTTGATGATCAACAGGGGTGTGTTTGTCATGACCGTACACTAGCACTCCAGGACCATAACTGGTCATTCATGCATTAGGGTACTCCTTAGGCTGTGTTGGAGATGTGCGTCAATGCATTGTCAAAACTCTGGTAGCTCTCATTCATTGAAATGTTGCTGAGAAAGTCAGACACTTAAAAACTCTTGAAAGGCATGTGAAAGAACATGTAATTGTGATTACACCGCTTGTCTCCGCAGGATAGTCTTGGGATCCCAGGAGGAAAGGCACATGGTTGATTCATAAAAGAAATTGTTTGTTCTAGCATATTTTATTTACTTTTTTTCACTTTTATTTTCAAGGACTATGTAAACACTGACCCGTAGTCAATGTACACCATAGGCTGTATCATTGTAGAATATCTTTCTAGTTTCGAATGTTATATAAGAACTTAAAAACATTCTCATGAATAATTCATCTCATCAAAGAATAGAAACATTGGGTATTCTGCAATCTTCAAAATGCTCCTCAGTTTGCATTAACCAGCCAGAAAGCTTTAAAGCTTTTCTATGAGGCATGAACATTACCTGGAATGGTAGATGATGACATTTCTGTTGTCACAGCAAAGGTGGTCTCAAAGATCTCTACAGGAGGCAGAAGAGGGTACATTTGGTTTACACAGGGTTTAGGGAAAAAAGCTTCAACAACAGCACTAAGTGCCTTATAAATGTAGGCTTCAAGTGAAGTATGATCATTTTTGTTCCTCCAGACCATTAGAGGAAGTACATATTACAGGTGCAATGAGGCTTAGAATGCTACTAATGAGATTTAATACTAAATTAAGCTCAGATATCCATGAATTTACTATTCCTGACTTAAAAGGCATCCTATGTGGAGGGGCCAGGGCTAAATAGCTTGCTTAGGTGTTCAACCTAAATTTGGCAAGAGGACCAAAATGGTCTACAGCTGCCCAGTGCCCAGACAACTGTTAAACACTCATTTTTTTACCTTATGCATCAGCAAATGTACTGTAAACCATGACGGAACCTGGTTGATATGACCAGGAAAATGTGTTTCCAAGGATTACTAACATGGTCTGTCTGGTGGTTCCCCAGATGCCCTAAATTCACTGTCCGAATATAAATTTGTAAATGAAAATTATTTGGAAGTGTAGATGATGATGTTTCTGTTGCCACAGCACAGGTGGTCTCAGTGATGTCTACGGGAGGCAGAAGAGGGTACATTTGTTTTACACAGGGTTTTGGGAAAAAGCTTTAACAACAGCACTAAGGGCCTTATAAATGTAGGCTTCAAGTGAACCCCTCCCCATCTTTACTTTCTGAAAGACTCCGCCTATCTGGGATGCTTTTTTATAATGTCATGCTACTAATGACTATTAATACTACATCTTGCTCAGATGTCCATGAGTTTACTATTCCTGACTTAAAAGGCACCCTATGTGGAGGGAACAGAGCCAAAATGCTTGCTTAGGTGTTCGACCTAAATTTGGCAAGAGAACCAAGACAGCTGCCCAGCCAGCTGTTGAACACTCTTGTTTTCACCTTGTGCATCAGCAAATGTACTATAAACCATGACAGAACCTGGTTGATATGACCAGAAAAATGTGTTTCCAAGGATTACTAACACGGTCTGTCTGGTGGTTCCCCAGATGTCCTTAATGTCACTGTCTGAATATAAATTTGGAAATGAAAATTACCTGAAGATGTAGATGATGTTTCTGTTTCCACAACAGAGGTGGTCTCAGTGATCTCTACAGGAAGCAGAAGAGGGTACATTTGTTTTACACAGGGTTTCGGCAAAAGTTTGTACCAAAGCTTGTACTTTAGCACATTATCTTAAGTCGGGGTTTAAGAAGAACTAAACATTACACTGTTTGTGGAAGTTTGTCCTTGTTTAGCGGCATGTCAGATAATTTGATTAAATCATTACTATCTGTCTTCACAGCAGCAGGGATTGTATGACTGATCACCGATATGTTTCACATGTTTTAATATTCGATCCCCAGAGCTGATAGTATGTGACTGAGGTGTCCTTGAGCAAGGCACCTAACCCCCAACCGTTCCATGGGTGCGGTGGATAGGGCTCACCACTGCTCCAGGCATGTGTGTGTTCACTACTGTGTATGCGGTGTTTCACTTCATGGATGGGTTAAATGCTGAGGTGAAATTTCGCTGTTGTTAGACTAATAAGGGTCACTTAATCTAATCTTTAATCTTAATTGTACTGTAGATTTGATAGTGGCATGTCTCTCATTCAGAGACTATTTTATGTTGTTGGATTATTAAATATCTAATTATTAAAAATAACCATTTCTAATATTTTAATTAATGCTAATAATTTACTTACTCTTACAAATTGTAGTGGGTGGGTTTACGTTTGTACATAGGTTCCCATGGCCAGGACCGCAACAGGGAAAAGATATTAAGTTGTGTTAAATTCTGGCATTTATTCTGATGTTCAATTACACTAGATCTGTGACATGATGATGTTTTTCCTGAGATTTGAAGTTGTTTGGTTAGTTGTTTAGAGGAATGATGGCATTCCATCTGATGTCTGAGTACTGACGCTGAGGTCTGAGGATGTCCTAAAATGTAAACCATAGATGACTATTAATATGAAATCTTGCTCAGATGTCCATGAGTTTACTATTCCTGACTTACAGGGCATCCTATGTGGAGGGGCCAGGGCTAAATAGCTTGCTTAGGTGTTCAACCTAAATTTGGCAAGAGGACCAAAATGGTCTACAACTGCCCAGTGCCCAGCCAGCTGTTGAACACTCATTTTCACCTTGTGCATCAGCAAATGTATTACAAACCATGACAGAACCTGGTTGATATGACCAGGAAAATGTGTTTCCAAGGATTACTTACATGGTCTGTCTGGTGGTTCCCCAGATGCCCTAAATGTCACTGTCCGAAAATAAATTTGGAAAAGAAAATTACCTGAACATGTAGATGGTGATTCTTCTGTTGTCACAGCAGAAGTGGTCTCAGTGATGTCTACGGGAAGCAGAAGAGGGTACATTTGTTTTATGCAGGGTTTCGGGAAAAGCTTGTACCTTAGCACATTATCTTAAGGTGGGGTTTAAGAAGAACTAAACATCACACTGTTTCTAAAATTTGTCCTTGTTTAGTGGTATGTAAGATAATTTGATTAAATGATTACTATCTGTCTTCACAGCAGCATGATATTCTTTTTATACCCAATCATGTTACTGACCTGTTGACAATTAACCACCAGGTGGTTTTTTAGCATTGCACAACTTTACCAGCCTTTTGTTGCCCCCGTCCCAACTTTTTTGGAACGTGTTGCTGCCATCAAATAAAAAAATAAAAAATAAAAAAAAATAATACATTTCAATGTATTTTTCAATGTAAATAAAAGTGTTCACTGAATGCATATTGAGTTCAAATAAACTTCTCATGGTTTGGTCCAAACAGAGTACTTTTCTATCAGCGCGGTACCAAAAATGCTTGTTAGCAGTTGTAAAGACCTACAGAAGCTTTACATTACTGTAAATTTTCTCACACATCCCATTTACAAAAATTATGTGGTTACCTTTAATAATAACATTCATAGCAACTAGCAATTTCTTAACTAATAGTTTGTTAACTATAAATTTGCAATTCGAGCATTATCTAATCGTTTGTTAATAACTATTGATTTGTTATAATAACTATTAATTTTGTGGGCAATGTGCAAGCTGCCTTCTCAGCTTTCATAACTTTGGAATGTTTCATCTTGCAGACATGATACACATATCATGGCCATCAGCAGACCATGCCCTGTCTAGCCAGAGGTCATCAAGGAGTGACTAAGCATCAGTGAGTAAAGTGAGTCCAGTCAACAGTAGTCGAGCATAATGTCCTGTGTGACAGGACTGATGGTGTTGTGACAGGACTGACTTTATGGAGTTTGCTGATGCAGGAAAATATATGTTACGTGTTCTTGAATTAAGCATTCCTATATGAATTTCCTAATATGATTTTAAAGTTAATGTAATAATAGACTAATATGGTCAAGTTTAGCCAAGAACATTTAATAAGGACCTCCTTTAATAGAACATGACAGACAACTGATACAGTCCAAATATTTCTCTAAGCCATTAAACTCATATCAGAATATTTCAGTTGTGATTGACCTGTTTACATACATTCAATCAGCAGGTTGTCTCTGTAGCTTTTGTTATTATTTTGGCTTTGACTGTCCAATATAGTATTTCTGATTGAGTAAATTAATATGCAGTTTATTTTCATGGTCGTTTCTGGAGGTCAGTGTAACAGTTTTGAAAGAGTGTGTAGGCATTTGAAAAATGAGCTCTAGAAATACAGTTTTATTAAATGCTGCGACTGAGAGAGAAGATAAATAAAGAATTTTGGTGTTCACTGACTGCATATTGAGTTCAAATAAGGAAAAAAGTGCTCACGGATTGGTCCAAACAGAGTGCTTTTGTATCAACTTGGTACCAAAAATGCTTGTTAGCAGTTATATAGACCAACAGAAGCTTTACATTACTGTAAATTTTCTCACACATCCCATTTACAAAAAATATGTGGTTACCTTTAATAATAACATTCATAGCAACTAGCAATTTCTTAACTAATAGTTTGTTAATAACTATAAATTTGCAACTCGATCATTATCTAATAGTTTGTTAATAACTATTGATTTGTTATAATAACTATTAATTTTGTGGGCAATGTGCAAGCTGCCTTCTCAGCTTTCATAACTTTGGAATGTTTCATCTTGCAGACATGATACACATGTCATGGCCATCAGCAGACCATGCCCTGTCTAGCCAGAGGTCATCAAGGAGTGACTAAGCATCAGTGAGTAAAGTGAGTTCAGTCAACTGTAGTGGAATCATAATGTCCCCTGTGACGGGACTGATGGTGTTGTGATAGGACTGACTTTATGGAGTTTGCTGATGCAGGAAAATATATGTTACGTGTTCTTGAATTAAGCATTCCTATATGAATTTCCTAATATGATTTTAATGTTAATGTAATAATAGACTAATATGGTCAAGTTTAGCCAAGAACATTTAATAAGGACCTCCTTTAATAGAACATGACAGACAACTGATACAGTCCAAATATTTCTCTAAGCCATTAAACTCATATCAGAATATTTCAGTTGTGATTGACCTGTTTACATACATTCAATCAGCAGGTTGTCTCTATAGCTTTTGTTATTATTTTGGCTTTGACTGTCCAATATAGTATTTCTGATTGAGTAAATTAATATGCAGTTTATTTTCATGGTCGTTTCTGGAGGTCAGTGTAACAGTTTTGAAAGAGTGTGTAGGCATTTGAAAAATGAGCTCTAGAAATACAGTTTTATTAAATGCTGAGACTGAGTGAGAAGATAAATAAAGAATTTTGGTGTTCACTGAATGCATATTGAGTTCAAATAAGGAAAAAAGTGCTCATGGGTTGGTCCAAACAGAAAGGACAAGGGTCACTTGACCGGGGAATGAAACCCAGGCATAACCAGAACAATTGGAATGAAATTCAAGACAGTTATTTTCCACACACACACAAGCTTTGCTCAAATGTCTTTCAGATCTCATGGTGGTGGATATTACAAGTTGAAGAAGTGGAATTAAACAAATGACATCCTGTAATATTTGCCAGCCAGATCATGTCTTCTCTGGCAGGCCAGAAGAATTGGTTCTCTCCCACATGGTGCTTTCATTTCACTTGAACCTGAACCTCATCAATGGTGGTGAAGATGCCTGGGTAGAGGTCTCTGTCATACTTTATGACACACCACTTGGTGTGAATGACTTCTGGAACCCGTCCGATATCTTCTATCAGTGGGCTTGGTGTCCTGGTGCAACATCTCCCCAGGAAAGGTAGTGACAACCTGGTGTATTTTCATTGTTGATGGGACTCGAGGAATGCTGTCGGGCAGGTACTTCATTGCCCTGTGAATGGACGCTTCATTTACATAGAACGGTTTTAAAGTGGTGCCTGAATGCAACAAACTAATCCATTGCATCGTGAGTGTCATGGCTGTGGCTCACCAACCGGTCTGCACTCCTCTTCAGAACAATTTTAACCCCATCTGGTGCCCCTTTCCCATGGCAGGCCTCAAAGAAATCCCATGTTCCTGCTTGTAATCCTTGTTTTGGTGGAGTGAGGTAAATATGGATGTTCCTTTCTGGTGGTACTGTGTACAAGGTCCATCAGGAAATGGACCACTGTGACAGCAGGTAAGAAATTCTTGACATCTTGGCTCAGATGTTTCTACATATAACACTCCAGTGTGCAGGCTCATGGGATGCACCAAAGTGCACTGCCTGGATCTCAGATGCAAACAGTGCCCTCCACAAATATTGGCACCCCTCGTAAACATAAGCAAAACAGGCTGTAAAAAACATTCTTTATTGCTTATCCTTTCAATCTTTCATTCAAAATATTGAACCTTTCCACATCCTTCAGATTCTGATGTCCACACTGGGGACTCTCCTCTTCAGCTCATCCCACAGGTTTTCTATGGGGTTTAAGTTAGGGGACTGGGGTGGCCATGGCAAAACCTTAAGTCTGTGGTCAGTGAACCATTTTGTGTTGAGTTTAAGATGTGCTTTGGATCATTGTCCTGCTGAAAGATCCAAAACATGGCCCAGTTTAAGCTTCCTGGCTGAGAAAGCCAAGTTTCAATTTACCATCTGCTAGTACTTGATGGAGCCTGTGATTCCATGTACCCAAATAAATTGTCCAGGATCTTTGGAAGAAAAACAGCCCCACAACATCACAGATCCACCACCATACTTAACAGTGCAGATGAGGTACTTTCCTTCAAGGCTATCTTTGTGTCCATGCCAAACTCACCCCTGCTGTTCTTTGCCAAAAACCTCTATTTTGGTCTCATCTGATCATAAAACACAGTCCAACTGAAAGTTCCAGTAATGTTTGGCAGAAGGTGGGTGCTTGAGTTTGTTGGTCCATGACAGCAGAGGCTTTCTTCTGGCAACCCCCCAAACAACTTGTGTTTATACAGTTGGCGTTTGATTGTGATTTGGGAGACACTGTGACCCCAAGGCCAAACTAATTTCTGCAATTCCCCATCTGTGATGCTTGGAGATTATTTGTCCACTTGAACCATCCTCCTCACTGTGTGTGAGGTCAGTACAGACATATGTCCTCAGTTGTTTTAATTGTTTAATAAATTATTGACCTGATAGTGGAAATGGGCATTTTCAACTGTTTAGCTGTTTTCTTGTAGCCATTTCCTGATTTAAGCAGATAAAACAACCTTTTGTCGCACACCATTGCTGTTTTCTCTGGTCTTTCTCATAGTGATGGATGACTAAGGGAATTTGGCCTGTGTTTCATCTCATATATTTTCCCCAGTGAAACAGGAAGTCATGGTTGACCATTTACGTGTTCCTAATGACTAAAGGTGAACTTTAAAACATAAAATATGAATGGGGCTATCCTTCATCCTTCATTATTAAAAATTTCTAGAGATGCCAATAATCTTGGGACACACAGATTTAAGAAAAATAATTTTCACAGGATTGTTTTTTCTTTCAATCATTGGGCCTTAGCTAAACTACCTATATTCTGAATGAAAGATCAAAAAGAATAAGTTAAGAATATTTTTTGCAGCACATTTTGCTCATGATTGTCAGGGGTGCCAATATTTGTTGAGGGCACTGTATTTATATATGTAAGTTTCAGAGAAGTGCACGTGTATGATGCATTCGTTCTCAGCCATGTTCCTCTTCAGTTCCGTGCAGTGTCTGTACTGTTGTCTGATGTCGAATACATGGCATTTGAATTTCACGAGCTTCTTTTTCAATATCTTCTTGAAAGTGGTTTCTGTGTTGTCCTTTGTATGTCCTTTTGTGTCCTCTGTTACCCACTGCATGTATTCCACTCAGGTAGAGCTTTCATGCTCCCTGAGAGATGGGAAGTCCTTGCCTTTGCAGTTCCCACAGTCACTGCACATGCAATCTTTGTTGGTGTGGTTACAACAGATCTCTGACATCAATGTTGCCATTTCAGAGGCGTTGAGCAACTTCATGCTGTAAAGTGCACAACCCGGTAGGGCCAAAGTCTGTAAAACAGAGAACAGGAAACGGATTTCCTTGAGTTCTCTGCAAAGTATTTCTTGTTCACAAGGGATCTCTTCTGCATTCTGACCTTTGCTTGTGTTACAGTCTGCAGAGTCAACCTGCCACATCAGCTCCTCTGAAACTTCTGCAGGTCCACTTTTTTTCCAGCTGTATCACATCTGTATGGCAGCTTCAGTTCTGCAGAACGGACGGCGCTGCAAAGGGTGGTTAAAACCACTCAGTCCATGACAGCAGCTGTTGTCTCACCCATGCAGGACATTTACAATAAAAAAAGATGTCTAAGGAAAGCCAGCAGTATCACCTACACACCACAGCCATTCACTGTTCCACACGCTTCCATCTGGGAAGAGATGTCATAACATTCGAGCCAGAACCACCAGGTTCAGTAACTACTCAAACTATACACACTTTGTATTTTAGTCTAATTTTGAGCTGTCTCCATGTTACTCCAGACTTGGACTGCAGACAAACATATATAATCTTGTTTACTGATCACAGAAAGACAGTTTACACACTGGACATACCAGTGCACATTGTGCACATTTTGCACTTACTTTGCATCCCTATCAATACATCAGTACACTTTTATGGCTCTAGTTTATTCCGTATTTATTGTCCATTTATTGTTTTTTTACTTATTTATATTTTTTATTTGTGTATATGTAATCTAGTACGTGTGCAATCATGTCATTGTCTTAATGTGTATGCACCAGAGAAGTAGCCTGAATGTGTTTCGTTATACTGCACAGTTGAATTGAGATGAACCGAGTTAAATAATCACCATTATGTGTTCGGCATACCAAAAGAATACACTGAGCTACAGAGTCAGCTGTCATAGTATGCTATGTCTTTTCTAACCTGAAAGTGTGACAGTAGCCTACAATCAACTAAAACCTGTATAACTTCACACAGGTCTTATGTCAACTTCTAAAGGAAAGTTGAAACTACTGCTTATTGGAATAAGCCTTTATAAAATGTTCATATAGGTTTATGTCAGGTGTCATGAAAGGCTTATGAAATTGTCATGTAGTCTTATTTATTTGGGCTACAGTAAAGTGTTTTCCATACTTTCAATTAAGTACATTTTATCTACATTCTTTGCACTTCATTTTCTATCAGAAAACAAGCAGCATCAGCAACATTGGCAGAAATAATGGTATCACGTCAGTTGAAGGGCGTCCACATAACACATTCATAACATCTTACATAAATGCTTCATAACATGCTCATAAATGTTTAAATCAACATTCATGAAGCATAAAATGTTTTATATGATATTAATATGGACTACTATGTCTTTTTACTGAGAGACATTTTTCAAAATAAAACTTCACTTTTTATTTAAAAATCTTATTTTCAGTAAAAGCCTCATTTCTGGACGGCCAGAATAAAACTGACCTTTCTTTACTCCTTTGGTCATTAAGTGTACACCATCATAAAAAGTTTCAGTTGAATGATTGTTCCTAAGCATTTTTAAGAGTAATTTACTGTCCATGCAGTAAAGTGAAATGCAAAGGAACAAATGCTTAAGAAAAAAATAGATAATTAAAAGAAATCAAAAGTACAGGTGAAAAGTGCCAGAGCACTTAATGACCAATGGGATAAAGAGAGGTCATTTTTTTTATTTTGACTGTCCAGAAATGAGGCAATAATATTCTTTTTTTTTCAAAAGTAAAACGGAAGTCAAATGACATGCTAGTGCATATCATATTAAATGTATACTTTATAAACATTGATTTAAACATTCATTACCATGTTACAAAGTGTTTATGTAAGTTATGAAATGTGTTATGTAGACACCCTTCAAGTAAAGCGCTACCGGAATAATTATATATTAGTGAAATTGAGGACAAGTCAACTTGGTTGGTATAATTTTCACACGTGCTGTGTTTTGCAATGTAATAACATCCGCGTCAGCCTATTCCTGAGAGCCATGCAATCATCACTGTACATATTTCAACACTTCTGCTCTGTGGTAATACAAAACAATATGCAGAACTTATATAAACACAACCAACAGTGCAGCTCCCATCAGTATAAAGCATGTGTCGGCTCACCATATGCACATTTGCCCCAATGGAGATAGCAAATCAGAATTAGACAGTGGGAATGTACAAAGATTAGTAATAAAACACAGCAAACTAAAACACGTAACCCTAGCAATGATCACCCTAGGCTTGAGCACACTGGCACAGCAGGCAGACCCAAAGAAGATGACATGACTGAGATAAAAATCAGACAGTTGAGATGTGGGAAGAGGGTGAACATCAGCCAAATCATCATAAGCAAAAGCACACTGCCAAGTCAGCCTTGAAAAACGGTTATGATCAATTTAAAGTTTTGCCTGTGTCAACTCAATGCATTGAACTAATGTTAGTTGGTTGCTTTGACTTTTTCGCAAAGCCTGTGTCAAGTGTAGTAGTAAAAGAACATAAGTACAAAAATTGCAGAAAACTGATATTAATGAGACATTTTATTTTTGCTTTCGACTTTGCACGGGAAGAAGTTGACACATTTGACGGGACTGCATCTCATTTTTAAATGCCTCCAGTTACATCTTTTAACTGCAACTGAAGCTTCAAATTCAAACTGGTGTGCTGACAACAAAAGGCTTGTGGCAATGACGGATAGCAATGGTTGTAAAACAGTAATTGGATGGCTGAGGAGAAGAAGGTGGCGCACATAATGATTTGATTGACCATAAAACAATGACATTACTCACAGAAAACAAAACAAATCTAAAAGATCTTAAAACAACAGGCCTAAAAAAAACAGGTCTAAACTGAAGTTACAGTAAAAGTGTTCATTAAACTCCAAAAAAAGTACCATAACGAGTACAGTAACGAGAGTAAAAGGTAATTTGTTATTTTCCACTTCTGCCTAGAACTACAGCCACAAGTATCATTTCAAAGTTATCATTTTAATTTTCAACACAGCATTCTCAGAACAAAAAGGGTACTAAACCATACTTTGGATACAATGTCAGTAAACTTCTATCAGAAGGAAAATGAGGAGAGAGAGAGAGAGAGAGAGAGAGAGAGAGAGAGAGAGAGAGAGAGGTGAATGAGAGTGGATCTATGGGTGTAGTGAGTAGTAGAATAAGAAGCATAGAAAGTAAAGACTCACTAGCTGTGAAACAGAAGAGGAGGATCACTGAGACGTTTCTCATCCTGACGGCTCAAACTAGATTACAATCAATGTTCGGCCTGAAACACATCTGCACAGGACTTTCTAACAGTCAGTGAACTGAAGAAGATTGCTCTCTCTGTTTAAACTGTCCAGAGACTCGTACCTCCTCCTCAGTGACTCAGCGAAGTAAAGCCTCATAGAGTTCCCATAACAAAGACTTGACATTATTTTTACCATATATTTTGTCAGCTCACATACAGGCTCTATTGGGGCTGTTCATGTATTTTTCCACTCAGCATTGATGGCTTCATACAGCTGAAAAACATTGCATTGCGAGTTTGTCTTTAAAATGAGACCAAATCTTCTCTGTATACTACGACAGCATTTTAGAGCCACTGTTAAAAAAAAATAATAAAAATAATAGACTTCAAGAATAAAGTTGCAATATTTTGCAAATAAGGTAATAATATTTTGATAATAAAGTCATAAAGCTACAAGAATAAACTCGTAATATTTCGAGGATAAACTAGACTAATTGTAGGGGGGCTGCCCCCTAATGTGCTGGGGTCTCGGTTGCTGTACCAGCAACAACAAAGATGCCGAGCATGCTGGTGTTTCACTCCTTCTGGATCGATCATTTTGATTATCATTCTCACTGTCTCTGTGAAGTTACATGACCTCTTTGAATGGCACGGAGGTGTAACCACCGATAGTCTTATAGACGACCACTGTCTGCGATTCTCCTTCAACAAAACAGACAATTTCCTCTGAGTCCATCTGGCTTTTTATTCTAAATAAACAGATTCCTGCTCAGCCATTTCTTATACTAATAAGAGTCTGGTTCTTATGCGCCAAGAGAGACAGGGAAACTGAGTATTTATTTACGGATGGAATTGATACAGTATAACTCTACCAACTCCTCAACATGATTTTTGATAATGTCCCACTTTAATATCATACTTCTATGACTTTCTTCTCAAAATATTAAGATTTTATTCGAAAAAAATACAACTTTATTCTGGAAATATTATGACAGTCTAAATTTTTTTTTAACGGTGTCCCAAAAATGCTGTCGTAGGATACTGACCAGGCCAAAACTATCAGTAAAAACCATTATACAAAACAAAAAGAAAAAACAAAAACAAACAAACAAACAGATTTTCCAAAATTATTGTTAAAAAATGATTAAAAGCTACAGAGCAAATGGGACTCCTAACAACCATGCAAGACCTGGCACACCACCAAAGCTGTCCCCTTCAGAGAAACAGCACTTAATGCTTTCACCTTTTAGCTCCACTCTTACTTCAGATCTGAAAAAATCCACAGGGGTTTCTGTCCATCCATCCACTGTGAGAAGACAACTCAATGCTATGAGTCTGAAAGGATGTGTAGCTGTCAAGGAGCTGTTATTGACAAATCTGAAAAGACAAATCAAACAAAGAAGCTGGTTTTCTCTGAACAGCAGACTGACCTCTCCAGAGTCCAGACCTCAACAACGCTGACTTTGTTTGGAAAGACTTGAATTGTGAGAAACAGAAAATGCAAAACCACCTTCTAAGACTGAACTTTGGTGCTGTAATAAAGCTAAAGAGTTGATACACTAAGCACTGAAAAAATCCATTCATTCATTCATTCATTCATTATCTGAACTGCTTAATCTGCATGTCGCTAGAAGGCTGGACCCCCATTCTAAGTGAGGTAGGACTGTCATAGGACTGAGGAACAGGGAGGAGATGAGGTGGTGGTTAACCTTATCACAGGAGATGGAAGGTGATGTGAATTTATAGAATGTTGGATTGGAAGGAGTAGGGGTTTCAGACATGTTCCTCCTCCCAAACTTTAGTTGTTCTACAACTCTGCTTATGCAAAATAAAACATACAAATACATTCTTATGCTTTACTTATACATTTTCCAAACCTGCAGTAGTCATGCAATGTTTAACAGTTAATGCTGCATTTTCATTATAGTTGCTTCCCTCGCCAGTTGCTGAGGAAGTATCCATCCAGAAGCCCAGAGTTAAAATAAAATACATTCATCATCATTAACCACTTAATCCACGGTAGCAGTTGGGAGAGCAGAGAATCCCAGATGACCCCGCAACTTCCTCTTGCTCATTCCAGGGGACCCCGAGTCGCTCCCAGACCAACTTGGAGATATAATCCCTACAGCAGGTCCTAGAACGACCCCAGGGTCTCATCTCAGTAGGCCATGCCTGGTAAACCCCCACCGGGAGGCCCACCCCACAGTAATAAATATCTGCCCATTCAGCCTACAGTACTTTAGACCCACCCTTTTCTGTTTAAGTTATAAGGAGTGTTTCAGCCTGGAGTTCTTTTAGAATGCTTCACAATGAAGGGCAGCCAATCAAAGCAGAGGTTATTTACTTATCACTGTAGGTTTGGTACCACTGGTGTAGGATAAAGGCCCACTAATGCTTATAAGGCTCCCTTTATATGAGTTAACAGGGAGAAATTGTGTTCTTGTAGAGTTTTCAACTGTAGCTCCTGAATGGGCCCTTATTAACTCTTCTAAACCAAATAATGGTAGTAATGCACAAGTGAACAAATGCGGCATGACTATATTCAGGCCTGTCTCAGGGTGACTGCATCATTGAGTGTGTTATGTGGAAGAGGTTGAGCAATATGTCACTTACATGGTGCAAGATACACAAAATAACACAGCAAGAGTAGATTAGTGCTCTTGACTGTCTCTTCCTCAGTGACTTTCTTTGCTTTCTGTTTTTACTTACTTATTTATTTATGTTTCTCCTACTTACTATCTGCTTGTTTTAAACCTGGGGCACAAAGCTCAATGATAAGTCAAACATTTTCCTTTATTTAATGTACATAATATGTCTAAAATGTTTATTTTACATTGTATTCTTATGTATTAATGTGTCATTTAAACCATCTTCTCTAAAGGGCTTCATTAGCAGTGCTCTTTAAAAAGTGATGTATTATTATAACTTTTCTTCTTCCTATTCTTCTTACTGTTGGGTCTTGGATTGTTGTGTATGGTTTTGTTGGCTTTTCCTTTGATTTTAATGAGGTTAATGTCAAATAAAACTGTTCTTTTTATATCACTCTTTGGAGAGTTGATAAATATGTCCTTGCTTAATTTGCTAGGACTGCAGCTAAAAAGGTTTGAGAATCGCTTGAGCAGCCAGTTGAAACCAAGACTCAGAAGATACAATAGTCCTAGTGGACTTTGATTGGCATTCTTGTTTGGATAATCTGGCCCCACAACTCCTAATGGCCAGTTTCTTTTAAGATCTTCCTCTGACTGTGATTTGTCCTAATTATCGTGGCAAGCCCACTGCTCTGAGAACACCACCAACTTGTTTGTTTGATTTCTTCTTTTTTTTGCCTGTATTCTTTTCTCAGTAATTCTTGACAGGTACACATCATAATGTTAGATGGTGATGTCAAGGATGATGCCATCCTTTGGTGACCTAACCAAACTCAGCAAACAACAGCAAACACTGAGCTTCTTAGAGAAAAAGGGGAGGTAAGCCGGTATCCTGGTCATACCTCGACAGTGTCCCACTAGACATCCTCAGCCAAGCATCTTGTCAATTTTCTCGAGAACAAACTGAATTAACTTCACTGCCACATCTACTCACAGTAAGATCTATGAGATTTGCAGATTCTGCTTCATTGAAACCTAGTTAGGAACGAACACTTCGGACAACACTGGTCAACCAAGTAGCTTCTCTCTCAGTTAGCTGGATCACAACACAGAGGCTACCAGCAAGGCAAAGGGAAGTGGCTTTTTAATCCACAACTCATGGTGCACTGATGTTGAAATCATCAAGAAATCTTGCTCACCAGTTCCTCACAATCAAAAGGTCCCTTTAACCCTTTTATCAGTTTTGCTCACTGGTATCTCTATCTTGTCAGATGCTAATGCTGCACTGGACAAGATGTACATCTGTAAACAGAAAACCTGCTACCTGGCCTCACTTTCTGTGATGACTTTGACCACTGCAACCTTCAAAAAGCACTGATAAATATTCAATACGTGTCCTGTTCAACTAGAGGTGAGAGGACACTTGGTCATTGTGACACTATGATCTAGGATTCAAATAAATCTCTCCGTCGACCACATTTTGGCTAGTTTGACCATATATCTGTGCTTCTGCAGTCCTCACCAACAGAGAGGATGCAGTAATACAGAGCATGAATCTGACTTCAAAGACTGCTTTGAAATCACAGGTGGGTCCATCTTTAAAACACTCTCACATCTTTAAAACACTCTCAGAGGAACTTCCTTGCAAACACAGTTATGTTGTGACAATGTTGTGACAACCTGCTGTTTTGGTGCCCACAATATTGTCACAGCGTTGAAATGTAATTCCTCAAAAATTCCGAGAACGTTTTCTGACAACATTGTGTCAACGTAGTGGCAACATTGTCAGTGCAAGTTCCATTATGTAGCATATGGAGCTCCATGGAATTTTGATAAGTTGCCAATAAGTAGTCAAAATACCACATGGCAACCTTACTGAATAATGAGGCTGTGGCAATGTTGTGACAACATTGCTCAGACAACCTAAACAGCACCACCTTTGGACAACATTGTAGCAATGTTGTTAGAAAGTAGACAACATTGTTACAATGTTGTGTGTTTGATGGGTTGACAAAGATGGAGGATCAGTCAGTTGATCAACATGTCCCGTACATGGTGAAAGACACATATATACAAAAAAACAGCACACCAAAATCAATGTCCTCAATTGTCTTATCTTCTTTCTTTACTTCCTTGTTTACTTATTTGTCTTTATACTGCGTAAAACTGGGGTACAGACAAATCACAGTGATCAGACAAGTGAACCAGTTTTCTTTATTTGATTTTAATATTGATTTTAGATCAATACAGTTAATAGTTATTTTAAGCATAGTCTTACATATATGTATATGTATATGTATATGTATAAAATTATGATTCATCAACCATTAGTCACTAACAGAATAACAGTCACAGTCATCACAATGCATCACAAAAAACAATGCCAAAATCAATCAACACAATAAAAAATAAATGTGTGAAATTACATAAAAACAAAATATGCTGTATTTGCTGTTGTAACACCACATAAAAAT